CCCCCCCCCCCTCCCCTCCCACATGTAGGAGTTCTCAGAATAAAGTTGAAAAGCATTTGAATTTGGAGTGAAGGCGTCGAAACCAGTATTATTCGTATGTAGCTGGGACGTATCCCTGGCTTGCAGGATTCCAATACCTCAGTAATCAGCTAACGCAATCAAATCTCATCAAATATGAGCAGCTGGAGCCACACTAACGTAATATATCCGATGCTGCTTCATCTCCACATATTGCTGGCATGGCTCGGCAGCCATCATCCGGTTGAGCCAACGGACGGTTGTATGGCGGAGTCGAACGAGAGACGTTCGGGGGCTGAGTGGACGGCTGGCCGGCTGGATGCCCAACGAACTGGAAATCGGCATCGCTTTGAATGTGAACAGTATTGTTTTCGATCATCATCGTGCCTAACGCAATGGGCTAATTATATGTTTACGATGACTCGGAAAAAGGACTCGCTCTAAGCGGCTGGCTGCTCCAATAAACTGTTCTCCCCCCGAGTCAGTCGAGCATGAATACGGCAGGTGGACCTCGGCACAGATAATTACTCATAAACACCTGTGTGTATGGTAAATCAAAACTGATCTTGACGAGTAGAAGGTGTGAATGGAAAGACGACACCTTTGAATGAGGTCGACGAGGTCGACAAGGTGACCATTCTCATGTGACAAAGGGGCATTACAGTAGAATGGAATGCCATCTCAGAAACGACTTCTCGTTAGCCCTATTAGAGCAAAGGTAAGAAAAATGTGAAGGGGTTGCAGTTTATCCGAGAATTGACGGATTGCGAATGTGGGGCCAGAAGGGCATATATAAATGATTGATTAATTGCTCAAAATTCGAAGAATGAAATGGAAAAATACGCTGAATCAGAGAACATGAATTCCCAACATTCATTTAGGTGGATGTGGGTAACAAAAACAATCGAAAGAGCTTTCTACTAAAGCTTTCACCTCTGAAATTCAGCCGTTATGCTCTACTGATAGGGTGTGACATCGTTCAGGGAATTGCTGTTATTTAGTATTTAGACAATCCGGAGTCTCACGATGATAAAGAGCGGTAGTGTAAGGGATAAAGAGGCCTAATGCCTCGAAGTCCCAAGTACGTGTTCGAGTCTGTTGGAGCTGATGCATTGCTCATAACAAGCTATACTTCTCTAACCAATTCTGTACAAATCCTTTTGGCGCTCTCATTGAAGGACCACCTGCTCGAACCAGAAAAATAATCCATTACCGCAAAGCGCTACTTGAGACGAATATCTCTCTCCTTGTGGCCAAAGCGGCGATAATCCGATACCGAGCGGTGCTCTCATTTGTAGAACACATTCATCCATGCATTGCGTCATCGATGATCCTTGCGCTTTATCCCTTCACTGAGAAACAGATATGGGCCAATGATGAACAGTTTGGCCAGTCCAGTCCCATGACGCATTTTCGGGGAATTTCAGTCGTTTACTTGATTTATGAGGTTTTTCGACGAAAAAAAAGTTTATGGGCAGATTCTTCGCAGAGATAGAAAGGGAAACGAAGCGATTAAAATCCAGGGAAGGTCGAGTTCCCTGATTACCCAAGTGCTAGATATGAGATTCACTCTGCTAGGGGAGAATCTTTCTTTCCAATTAATAGCGCTGATCTACACACCATCTCCTCTGTGCAGGCCAAGATTACTATGAGGGATGGGCTTTTGTTCGGTTGAAGGGGAAATTTAAGCAGGCTACAGGTTGAACTAAGACATTATTCACCCACAAAGCAATTACCATCCCCAAGGTCGTTAGATGGTATCTCACCTCAACCTTTTCTGAGCAGGCTTGGAGTTCTGGGACACATCGGGGGTTGAAACCCGAATCATTCTTACAGGTACGCTCTCCGAATTTCTTAGCCTCAAAGCCTGCCTGATTAATTCCCTTTTGTTGAACGGAATCAAATGAGAACACTCTTAATCTAGCCACTCTGCCCTGACTGAAATTTCTGGAATTGAAAAAGGATTAAAGGTTGACCATCGGGCTTTTTGGCCAAGATTGTCAGAAAGGATCTGCTCGGCCAAGTGTGGTAGTTGCTGATCCCAGGACTCCCGTCTACGATAACCATCTTACCGACATTTCGGTATTAAATCGAGCGTGATATCGCATGTTGCATAGGTTGATAATCCTTGTACAAGGTTAGGTACATCATGTTCGAAAAGGGACCCGTCAGCGGCTAGCATGTGTCGAATATCTATCGAATAGTGCTAGCCACTAATTGGGCATTCAAAGAACCCCTCAGTGACAAACACTCAACAACCTCTTTGACTATCTGGTGGTCTTTTGTAACTAGACGCATCATTACCATGTTCGAAGCACTTCAGAACACATGGCTTCGACAATGACCTAAACGCGCCCAGCACCAGCAGTTGATGGGGACGTGGTAAGGGGACTCAAGACAAATTTCATGCCTTGCTTGGCACCTGTGCTGACTTATTAAATTATATCAACTCAAGGAAAGGAGAGAGCATACGGAAACCTAGGCCCAGCAGAAATTGGTAGGAAACGGCTGGATATACAGTAGCGCTCAAAAGTCTCTAACCGAACGCTCTTACGCTTTTTTGGGCGTAACTTTTTTCTCAGTGGAGCTATTCGCTACGTTCGAACACTTTAGACATGGCAAAAAGCAAAGAACTAAGAACAGAAAGACCATCATCCGTATTTTCTGTTAATTTTGGGTCTAAGCTCTTTGGGACAACTGGAACATGATCAGATTGCAAGTTAATGGTGATAAGTATTTACAATACACCCACGCCACACATATCGAAATTTCGCATAATCAGATCTGGCGGGAAAGGAGTTACGACTGAAAAGTGCGACTGAAGAAGCATTCGGCCGCAATCTTTCTGGCGCTACTGTACTTACTAAACACGGTCAGGCGCCTAGTTCCTACCGGAAGAACGTTGTATTCATTTCTTTCCCCTAATCTAATAAATCTGCTCTTCTCCTGGCGTTCTTCCCCTTTGACTACTTCACGCTACAGCAAAAATGCCCAACGTCACAGTTCAAACCCTAACGGTTCCTCTTCCCGTTGCGAGATATTTCAAATAGACAATGGAGTGTCTACAGAAACCACAAAATCTTTATTTTCGTTTCTCCTGGCTTATTCCTTTTTGGGACTTCCCTCCTTAGTAACAATTATAGGGTAACAATTCATTTCGTTTGCTAATTTAATATTTTATGCTATACTTATACATAGGTCCTTATGGATTTGCCCTTAATTGGTAAGGGGTGGATTACACTACAGTTTACTGTCTTGTAATCAGCTATTCTTCGTATCGACCCATGGTCGTCGGACGTCGTTAACGTCAACCTTAAACTTTGAAATTTTAGTATTTTTATTGTCTTTTTTATAACTATACACCTTAAGGTAACTTATTCAAAACAATTTTTATTATAACTAACTGGTTATAATAATATACTCAATAAATTCAGCAATTCCAACAAGTTATATAGTACAATTCAACTTGCATAAGTCTAACAACGAAGTTTCAACCAATTATTATCACACGCTAGGCCTTTTTGTGGGAAATCAATGGTGCCCTCACTTATATAGCGTTTGCGAGAAGAACCTGTAGCCTCAGTATTCCTCTGAGTGGCGTCTGCCTGCAAATGAACTATATATTATTCTTCTTTCTACAGCACATACATATTGACTTCCATTATAATATAACAGTTATACTTATATTTATTATTAAAATTTATACTTACATTTACTTCTTCCGATTCGGACAATCCTGGCAAGGTAATATTTCCCTGCTTCAATCTTCCAGATATTAATTCCTCTCCTTCTTTTACACTTAGAAAACTTTTGATCGGTCTCCCTTTCCATTCCGGTAGTTTTATGCCTAGCTTGATAACCAATAAAGCAGGCTTCATAACCTTGACGCGTTTTTATTTACTATGATGTTACTATTAATTAGACAACTTGCCAGTTGCATGCCTATGTGTAGCATTCCTTGCTTCACGAACATCTCAGGAGGAATCTTTTTCTTTTCCATATATATTAATCGTATTCGCCTTCGGATCAGTAATCTAAACGCATAATTAACATTAATATATTAACATAACATGCTTAATAGGTACAGTTTGCAAATTTACCCAAGGTTTTGATTCTCCAGATCTTTAATTTTCCTTTCTCGTATGTTTGCGATTTACGTATTGTTTTGTCTGTTATATTCTGATGACTTTTTTCGGCCCTCTCTCATAAAATGTTTCCAGAACTCGTATGATGTCTTTGCCTAAACAAGCAAAACCTAGAAATTTTCTTTAATACATTTGCCTTCTAACTCTGATTGCTGTTAATCCTTTATAAATCCCGGCACTCGTTGGCCAAGATAGAACCATTGTCTTCCCATCACCGGGGTAACTTAAGTACGTATTAGTAAGACTTTAAATACTACATCTACATATTATAAATCTAAACGCATACCCCAATATCACGTCCGTGGAATGGGGAAGAAGACGGTCATATTTCCATTTTTGTTTGTTCTCAAGTCCACATATGCGCACCCATTCGAGCAGAACACGTTTATTTACATTCTCTTGGAAGCGTGCTTCATGTGTATCACCTTCGCTCAACTGAAACGTATACTATAGCACATAGTTGTTCATCTCTTCCGTCCACCTATTATAAATTTCTCTTTTTTTTACAAATTATCATCTTAGTGATTGTAAACAACTGAAGAACGCAAAAAAAANNAAAAAAAAATAAAAAGTAAAGTAACTAAAGGAGAACATCAAACATTAGTGAACATTATGAACAACAAATTGATATATATTCATATATAGATACATATATGCATATGTATAAAGGATACCAGTGACAACGTCGTTTAAGACAACACAATAATAATCACCAAGGTGACAACTAGCTGTGATTCCTGAGGAACTGAGTAGTTTCTCGTCTCACATTGGAAAGATTAAGCGAGAAACTAGTCTCTTTGCTAAACTTGGCAACGACTGCTCCGGGGCCGCAACAGCAACTTCATTGGAAAAATATTGTGCAACGTATTTTGAAGTAAGTGTCCGTTTAACCAAGCAAAAATTGAGATTGTGGCGAGCGATGAAGAGTACCACCCCAAAAGTTTTCTTGAAACATCTAATATTTCATAACTTTCCATTCTTTTTCCAAAAAAGTCAGGCAGCGTGTGGTTCGATCCAACCACGTTTCCTGGCCAGCACATATGTTATAGCAATCATTCAAGTCCATTCTTGGGAGTCCTCTTATAGACTGGTCTTACAATAGAATAGGAAAAATTACTTGATCTAGTAAATTGAAGAAACTTCATTGGTGTTGCCAACCTTCCCCTCGGACAACATTGAATTTTTTCGTCTTCCGCTTCTGCGTCCTTTGCTATGTAATAAGGTAGCGGGAACGTGA